CAGGGACACCATTCATTCAGTGTGTCAGGGCCGCTCCCTGAGCAGGGGACTCAGTTCACATACAGGTAGCAAAGAGGACAGTTGTGCTGCCGTTTTTACTCCCAAAGTCAAACTAATGTGACAGTTTATAAAAATGGGTGACTGAAAGGGAATTGTCTGACAGAGATGAAAGTCCCCCAGAGAGAGAAGAAACCACACTGGCAGTTAAATTTGAATGGAAGGTATGAGCATTTATAGAAGAAACACCTGACTGTGGACTCCTTGGCCGGACCACTTCTCACAGGAGGCTCCAGAAATGCAGTCAGGGGAACCTGAAGACAAACTTCCCCACACCTATGAAGAAAGTGGTTGTGATAAAAAGTATGAAATGTTCCAAAGGAAGTGACACTGGGAAAACCCTTCACATAAAGAAACTCCCAGAGATAGTTCGCGACTTTGAAAGTGCTAAGGATAAATTGGTGGAAGTTGATCCAAACTTTGAAAGGAGTGTGACAATTCACCAGGACATAGGAAAGATGCTTGCTCTGTGTCATGTCATAGAAGGTGACATTCATTGTTAAAACTGCTTGATCATTTTTACAAAGACGTAAAACGCTATGATTCTCGAAGTTTCCAATTTTTAAAATTACAGTGTACAAAATTTATACCAGTGTTACTACTTTTCATTCTGTGCACATCTATAACTGACAATAACAGTTTCTGATGTTTTGACAAAAGATTTTAAAAGTCGTAGAACATTGACATTTTCCCCAAAGCAGATATGTTGTTTTGCAACTTCACATCTAATGGCTGTCTACAGCCCCATAGTCCTGTGCAAAGGCAGAAGGGTCTGTATTTAAAATAGACAAAACTTATTTGCTAACATTTATTGGAGATGAACTCCTAGGGCCACAGGAGTGAGGACAACATTTCCAGTAGCTTCACTGGAGATTAGCGTCACGGAGCGCTACTCTTCTGATCCCTTGTGCTGATCAGCAGAACTTGAACTAAGGTTTCTGTTCCTATAAGTTTAAAAAGTAAAGGTCTGCTTGGACAAAAAGGGAGAGTCAAGTAGGATGTTTCGGTCTTCTTTCTACCTTTAAACTCAAATCTGTCAACAGAAAAATAAAAGAAGCCGCATTTCACAAGGTGATCCCAACTTAGAAACTTCTTATGTGAGGACAAATTTGAGGACGCCTCAGACCTTTTATCTCTCGCAGCCTGTCTTTTTGTGTTGGTAAAAAAGCTGGAAGCTGGTGATATTTTTTCCAGTAGCGAAAGCTGTTGATCCTTCTTTTTCACCATTACTTTCTTTTTCCGTTCATTTCCTGGAAAGCGGGGTGGATTTAGTGTCCTGCAAAGTTTTCATTTCCTATTCATTCCCTATGAGATTATCTCTGAGATTTCCTCGGTGTTTCTGAGATTCAGCAAAACCTCCATACTTTTGAACCCCGTCTTATTCTTACTTGAAACTTGTATTCCTGTGAGTATTTGGAAGAGATGGAACAAAACTCTGCAGGGGAGGGAACTGAATCCCTTACGTGTTGTCCTTTGGGGACTCAGCTTACGTGGGCTGCAGTATAATCAGTAGTCTGAGCTTGTGCTCTAGAGGAAAAAAGGCCTTGAAACCTTGACATTATCTGATGTGTTTTTTCCCCCCTATTGTTAATGATATGAGTTCAACAACATACTGAGGTTTCCCAAATTCCTTGAATCCTGGGGTGGGGTTTTCCAGCAAAGTATTTTTTCTTCTTTTCAATTAGTTTTGGAGGAAGTTTTAATCTATGGAATATTAACATGTTACTGCTAGTCAAGAGAGTTTATCTTCTCTGATTTTATGTTGCTTGGCCCTTATTAGAGAAGAAAAAATATTTTCAAAGCTGCCTTAAATGTGAATTGGAAAGAGATTAAGCTGCTGTGTGTCTCCATTACAGGCAGGCATGTTAAACCTGTTTACAGACCCTCAGAAGGATTCAGTTGACCCTGAGAAATGAATGAATGTCAGCCAAAGGGGGTGCTTTTCAATAATATCAGTAATCACATACATTCCAAGTATTGCTTAATATTATCCAAGCCAAACATATAACCACAATACATAAATAAAAACAGATTTCCTCCTTAAATGTCATATCTCCAAAGTCAACTACTACCCAGATCTTGAACAAATATTTGTAAATTTTTTATGAGGGTTTCAGAAGAAAAAAAAAGTGAAGATCTGTTCTAAAAACTTCTTTTGTCAATAAAATTTTTGTATATTTCCAAATTTATTATTTTTTTTAGATATTTGGTTCTCAAATGTTTACATTTTATGTTGTGTTAGGTGCGTAGTCTATCAGGAAAGTAAAGTTATATTTTAACGAGGTAACCATACACTGTAGTTCCGTGGAATGTTCGGAATCTGTAACAAAACAACAGGGAGTACTGCTTGAAAGACGTTTTCATTTGGAGAGTATATGGATCACACATCTTAAAAAGCTGAAAGCAGTGGCCCTCCCTGGTGGCACAGTGGGTTAAGGCCCAGCACTAAGACGCTAAGGCCACTTCCGCATGAGTTCGATCCCCGCTTCGAGAAGGTGACCACCAGGCGCGGCAGGCCTCTCCTGACCTGCCCACTGCCCCCCTCAGCAGTGTACTTCGTGGATCTGCCTGCTCTGCTCCCGACTCTGTCTCTGGTGAATTCTCTCACCGCCCCTGCACCTCTGGCCTGTACCCCAGTTTTGTATGCATAAGTAATAAGCCCTAAAAAAAAAGCTGAAAGCAATGACAACTCTTCGAAATAGGAATGGTAACCCAAATTTTGATCTACATATAAACTGAAGACACATATAAATTTAGTATGTTAGTGGTGTCTTGTGTAAACTATTATTAGTCAAGCAAGCCATAAACCTCCTATCTTTATGGAGGTTTCATTCTTTGCTAACCAATTGGAAGGGCTTATTCTCACCAATGTTTTACTGGATAATAATCTATTTACCTGCTTAACACACAGTGAACCAATTAACTTTGTCATAAAGTTGCATATTTCATGAAACATTCATTCATTCAGTTATTTCACATCATGCAGTAGAAACAACAGAGAGTGCATTTGTGGCTGTTCTTCCTATTTTGTCATCATTGCAAAAAGACATACATAAATCCCACCAGAGAATTTCACTCTTCATCCCAAGTAGCACAAGTTTTTTTTTCCTAAGCTGAAATTCAAGCATGATCATTTTGTAATAGTTGTAAACTGTAGTAAAATTGGTGTTTCATATACATGGTAAACTGCAATTTGGCCTGGATTATTCATAATTTGGAATGATATATAATACAAATTATTGCTAAACGGAGCTAGCACTACAAAGAGTGAAATAATAGATGCTCTGCATTTCATATACTGACTATCCCAAATAACAATTGCTGTTCTTGCAATGTAACAGAATGTTAAAATGGGGCTCCTTCTGTCTCAGTTTCTGCTTGGACCTAATAGTTGCCAGCTCTTCCTTGATTCCAAACTGAGATGCCAAACCACTAACACAGAGCTTGCAATAGGGGTGCACAAGAATGAGTTTGCCACCCATTGGTGAGCATCTCTAGCTTCCAAAATGGACTTGAGTTCCTTGAGATAAGGGGAGTTGGCAAGTCAGGCAGGTTGTACGTTAGAAGACTATTTCTGAGTGTTGCCATTGTGTATGATATGCCCTATATGGGGATGGAAGGGTTAATCTTCCCTCACCTCAGGTCTAGCAAAACTGGCACCAAGTTTGTCTGTGGGAGAGTTTGGGGACACAGTACACTGAGGGCAGACCTCTCCCTGGGAAATCTAAAGGAAGAGGACTGATTGGTTAACTCTTCTGAAGGCAGAACAAGAGGGGACTATTTACTGGGGACCCATTTCTTTTGTTTCCATGAATCAGTATGGAATGAGGAAGAGACCTAACATAGCATTGTTCACCTCATGAAGCGACCTCTTGACGGAGAGGAGAGAGACAAGCATAAAGCCTCCATGTGTTCCCTAGACAACATAATTGTCTGCCACCAGGGACTGCTGTGAGAAATTCCCCGTGAGGAGAAAGTTCTCCAAAGGGCTCTCAAACGCATCCTTCAGTCAGGCTCAAGGTCCTCCACCAAAGCTAGATTGCTACAACAGGATAAGGCTTTTCCCCACCTCCCCTTAGCTTATCTCGAGGAACTGAAGAATGGGAAGCCTAAGAAATATTATGGTCCCTCATCCCTTATGTTGGAGGCCAACTTGAATTGGGCATGGGTTGGAAGGAAAATGTGTTCATGTACAGTAAACCTCTTAAATTGCTAAGTAGAGATAGCACTTAATTGCTGAATTGTTAAAAAGAGATAGCACTACAAATAGTGAAAGAATTATCACTACACATTCTGAGACTCTGAGAGAATAGAGTAAGCAGAGGACTTTTTTATTTTCTGAAAATTACAAGAAAAGCTCCAGGGTCCATTGTATTTGATTAGGGAACAGCAACTAATCTCCAAGAATAGATTTGAAGGGCAGTAGGGGGAAAAGATGAAATTGTGTTGTGTTGTAGGTAGATTAAAAATTCTTTGTATCACTTAATGAATTCAACAACAATAATAATAATGGCTAAAATTTATTCAAATAATTTTTATATGCCAGGCACAGTATAATTTCCATATAGTAAATCATTTTTTTCCCTCACAACAGCCTTTGGGTTATTATACTCATTTTTAGGTGAGAAATTTAGACACAGAAGAAGGTCAAGTAACATGACAGAAGCTGTATAGCTGATAAGTGGCAAAGTCACTCATATGGATATTTCCAGCAAACTAGAATTCAACATCTTTCCTCAAAAGTCTGCTTTTCTCACAACCTCTGAAATACCAGGTGCTTAAAACTAAAGCCATCTCAGTATCACTTCCAATGTGTTAGCATTTTGCTGAGACACATGAAGCTATTTGTGGTTTGCTGTGTTTTGTTTCAGGAAGAAAACAAGGACTCACCGCAGTACATGAATTATTTTCTGTAAGTAGTTATTTCTCTTCTTATTTCGTAGATGTGGACAACCTCTACAAAATAAAGTACAGCTGAAGGGTCGTGACCTCCTCACTCTAAAGGACTTTACAGGAGAAGAAATTAAGTATCTGCTTTGGCTATCAGCAGATCTGAAACACAGAATAAAGCAGAAAGGAGAGGTATGTGGTATTTTCATCTTACTTTCCATTATTACCAATCAGCCTTTTTAAAGGCAGCCTTTCCAAAGAAAGAGGGAAAGGAAAATACATTAAAATTCCTAACCAGTAGCTTGGTAATGAAACCACACAGTCGGGGTAATTGATTATCACTGAGAGTACAGGCATATAAAAAGCATAAAAATCAGTTATTCAATGACAAGCCATTGCACTTCTTTCATGTGGAATATTGAAATTCATTATGAACTGGATCAGAACTTAAGGAATAATGTGTCCGGAAAGATTTTATTTTTATCCTTCTTTTCTTTACTCTGTGTGTTTTTTAGCAAGCTAAAAATCAAGATGATACATTTTTTTCAAGCAATAAATTTGAATTGTGGATGCATATCAGATATATGATCATTAGAATAATGTCAAAAATTCACAGTGATGTGACAGTGTTGATTTTATTTTTTCCATTAGCATAGAAACAATTAAATGGTAACCAAGTAGGAGAAGAAATGGGATATGGTGCTTAGCTATAAGCATTATTCTGCATTTTGAGCAATTTGTGTTTGAGACACGCTTAATTAACACAGTAGCTTCATTTAAATTGCTTAATTGTGAAAACATTTTCATATTCCAAGCTTGTTCAAAAGCTGTTTTAAAGAGTTGGTTTCAGGTTGAGAAAGTTTTACACAGGCTTGATTCTCTTATCGAGTTCACCAGCTCTCCAAATTTCTAAGAACCCATTGAAAACAGGAGTGACTCCAATTTCTATGAGCTGACACTTCTATAGAAAACCTGAAACCAGGAGAAAAGGTCCCCCAAGATCTCAGGCCTTTGTTCTTCACACTTTGTGTGTGAGGAAGGTTAGCTGGCAAGAATCTATTTGTTCCAGAGCTCATGCTATCAGAAGTCCATCTGCAGAAGAGGAAGGAGGAAGAGACCCGCCCTATATGCAAACTCTCTCTACTGTTTCCCAAAGCTTCCAGAAACAAAGGCTTGCACTACCCTGAAGATACAAGATGCAAGTGAGGTCGCAACTGCAGTGTCCTTATCAGTCTTAGTAGCACATGTGACCGAGTGGCCTGTTCCCAGCTGAGAACACTTCTGAGCCAAGCATCTCCCAGCATCTTGAACACGGATGGGGATTTCCATAGATTTAAGAAGGCAGTTCCTTCCTTAAATATTAATATATTTCACAACAAGTGTTCAGATTGAACCTAGATGCTAATTGCAAGCATTACAGGGAGTTCCTGTCCCCTCACCCCTTGTACAGAACATGAAAACATAATTTATTTTTATCTTTTTATTTGCCTTTATTGTGATGTTTTTTCCAAATTATATTTATTGAGGTAAAGTAGGGTGACATCTTTGTATCAGCTTGGGGGGTTATAAGTTCAAAGCTCTACAAATGGTAAAAAAAAAAAACAACAAAACAAAACAAAAAAAAACTTTTAAAAATAACATTTTGAACGCTTATTTGGAAGTGTACATGTTCTGATAATATAAATAGTGCGTTTTAAAACATAAGGCTTGTTATTGGCTAGACGATCTATTTTTCATTGTATTCTTGTCCCTGATTTCCAGTATTTGCCCTTACTGCAAGGGAAGGCCTTAGCCATGATTTTTGAGAAAAGAAGCACTCGAACAAGATTGTCCACAGAAACAGGTAAGCCTAGAGATAAATGGGCACTTGTGTTGAAAACGGGGCCTCAGGTGAGAACATGGGATGTACATCAGGGAAGAGGGGCATTGGGGTATGTCTCTTTAGCAACCCCAAATGGAAACATTGTCGCTGGGGGTTGCGGTGCAAGTCTCTCAATGTTCTTCCCAGTTTTATTGAAGCTATACGCATAGATTAGCTTTATCCATAGAAGTTCCATGAGATTGCCCAGAAGCCTCACATAGTTCTTCAAATGAAACATAAGTGGGTGTGACTTCTCTGGTCTCAAACTCGTATGCCCAAGAAATGTATGTTTCTAACATGTCAAGCACTTTTTCTTATTTGTACCCACTTTGCTGGCCGGCAGAAACCTAATCTCTGCAAATATAGCAATGATGAATCCCTTCTGGGTTTACTTTGTCAATTAGGGTCTCCTCTGCCTTTTGCCACAGGGCAGCCATGGTTAAGTCCTGGGGGGTAGCCCAGTGTCAGAGCACCGAGGGCTGCACAGATCTGGTCATCGGTTCATCCTCGTCAAATGCCCATGCTGGAGTAGGCTGGGACTTCTGTATTCCTTTGTTTCCTTCCTTTCTTTCTTTTAAGATATATTTATTATGCAAACAAGAGCTGGGGTACAGGCCAGAGGTGCAGGAGAGGGTGAGAGGGCTCACCAGAGACAAAGTGGGGAGCACAGCAGACGGATTGAGCAAAATACACTGCTGAGGGGAGCAGCGGGTGAGACAGGAGAGGTCTGCTGTGCCACGTGGGTCACCTCCCTGGCTGGGGATCGAACTCCTGCTACAGTGGCTGCTGATGGCTTCATAGTGCTGAGACTTACTCCCTTGTGCCACCAGGGAGGCCCTACATTCTCTTTAGACCTTGACTGTGGTTTGCCTCACTCTGATCACAAGGCCTGAGATAGCACTTGGTTTGATTCTCTCAATAACTTGGCAACCCCTCCCGTGGCACAGGCCACTGCAAGGCTCCCACTATTCCACTGCTCTCGCCATGCTGTGCCCCAGAAAACTCAAAAACATTTGCTGCATCCTGAAGCCCTGACCAAAAACACAAGACACAGGTGTTTGACAAGTTCATCAAGCTCCCCACCCTTCAGCACTGTGCCTGGGGATCAGACATCAGTTAAAAGAAAATGTCCATCAATTTATATTATGTTGTTGCTTCTCTCTTCATTCTTCTTCCTCTTCCAGTTCCCAGACTTGAAGGCAAGGTTAAAAAGCAGGAGGAGAAACTGGCTCTCACTAGCCATTATATTCTTTTAAATCTTATTTGTACCTGGAATCCTACCTAGGCTGTTGAAACTCAAAAAATTTTTTCACACTATTATCACTGTAATGAGCCTCAGAAGGTCTACTTTGAAACTCGTGGGCCACATACCGTGTTTTCTTCTTTTCTACTAGAACACCCTGAATCAATATGGCTGCCAAATGGACAGCTGACAGGCTGGGGGAAGAGAATGCAAATAACAACACGCTAGATAATACTTCAAACACTGTGTCCTACAGAGAAGCATCAGAATGTTTTAGGGCTAGGAAACACACAGCTACCCCATGTGGTTCTTGCTTTGTGATGACAGGTAATGAAGTTCATCAGAAACATACCAAAACGTAATTCAGAAGGACTAAATGACTTGCTAAGTTCACTCAATTAATACAACTAGCACCAGGAGTCAGATCTCACGCAACTTCACTTTTCTTACTAATGCCTTATGCCTTGACAGGAGGAGAAAAGGGAGAAATATGTAAGGTGTCATCTAATCTTTATAAAGTTTTAGGTAGGGCCTCCCTGGTGTTGCTATCACAGCACTATGAAGCTATTACAGCCACTGCAACACGAGTTCAATCCCTGGCCAGGGAGTGACTCACTCACTCCCCTGCACCTCTGGCCTGTACCCCAGTTCTAGATGCATAAATAAAAAAATCTTAAAAAAAGGTTTTAGGTAGAAAACAGATGAAAAGATTTTGGTCTTTAGGGCTGACTGCTTTAAGCATTCAAGATGACATTTAACACATAGTAAAAGAGGAAGTGTTATAGGGCACCCCAAATCTGTTCCAGAACAGGGGGAGAGGGACACCACTGAAGCCCCAAAATCCTGCCTGCTCTAAGTGGGTTCTGCCATCCGCCGCAACAAGACAAAACATATAAAACTTTAATGAAAAGGGACTTTAATACAGTGAATATACAATACGGAACACAAAGAAGATAACTTCTAAAGCAAACACCTGAAGTGACCCATCCCCTCGTGGGCAAAAGTCCACCCAAAAGGGATTGGCCCAAAGCAAGGCCTGAAAGCTGCCACGAGACTAAAGCACCTTCTGGCCGGGACCCATGGAAAAGGGTCAGACATGGCCAGACAAATCTGGGAGGAAAAGAGCAACATCAAAATCAATATAAACACTGCCATAGTCACCTCCCTACAGGTATCTCACCCACATCTGCCTTAGCCAGTCCAGGGTCAGGAAACAAGCCCGGTTTCTTCATCACATGCTTGCTGCTCCATGCGGCTTCCTCAGGTCTCCTTCTGGCTCTCCATCCAGCTTCCTTCTCTTCTTCTCTCTTCTCCTTTTTCTCTGCTCAGCTCCACCCTTCTGCCCCTGGGTGGGGCAGGGAACCTGGAACTTCCCTTTTTCCTGGGACCACCCTGTTACAGAAGGGGTAGTGCTCAAATCAGTATTTCTCAAATTCTACTTTCATGAGTTGGACTGAATTTTATTTGACTTCGTTAAAATCATGTAAAGAACCCATTAATAGAAATTTCCGAATTTAAAAAATTGAAATCAAATTTTCGCTGTGATTGGTGTTTTCTGCCATCCCCCTCTGTTCAAATGTTATATTTAACATCAAATATCCCTGCATAAGTGATCCATTTGCCATCCATATAAAATGTGGTACCTTGGCTATTAATAAAACTGTGAGTGGAGATTTAATAAGCCTCTGGGTGCAGACTTTCTGCCAAGTGTGCTACATCAATCGCGTGGATTATCTCACTTAATCCTCACAACAGCTCTGTGACTGTGAGAACATTGAGGAGAGCAGGCAGAAACAGCTTCAGCAAATGGCCCAGGGGCACATAGGTAATAAATGGCAGACCCAGGATTGGAAGCTATTATTAAATGCATTTTTTAAGTATCTAATTTAATTCAGACATGTCATAGCATGTTTCATCCTGGGAAAATTGTTTCTACAGGTGACATTAGGCATTTTGCTCAATGATGGTTTTCTAGGAAAAACTGCTCAGAAACCTGCACAAGATTGCAAATGGTGACAACAGATACACAAGCCAAAGAACATACGACCCTAAAACCTTCTGGTTTACCGTGTATTCATCATGATCCTCCATAAGTACCCGTGGGGCTAATTGTAGCTGGCGTCCTGCCAAACTCACCAGCAGGGGGATCAGTCAGTGCTGTTGCTTTAAATGTGCACAGAGAGGCGAAACTCCAACCCAAAATATGGCAGAAGATTCTGTGTGTACTTGTGCACCTTAACAGTTGTCTCTAGCTAGAGGCCCCATTAAAGCCTGTTACCTTGATATTTAGAATAAAAATAGGGCGTCATTAAAGCTGTCTATTACTGCTGCAGCCCCAGGGATGGGTGTGATCCTCCCAGAAAAGTCCTTGATGGTTGCATTCCAAGTATGAATTTCAGATATGCAGCAGTATTTCTAATTACTTCAGGGGACACTATGAAATTCGCCACCCCACTTAAGTCATATTAATTGCTCATGTAATTTTTTTTTAAAGATTTATTTATTTGTGCATACAGAACTGGGGTACAGGCCAGAGGCTCAGGGGCGGTGAGAGGCTTCACCAGAGACAGAGTGGGGAACAGAACAGGCAGATGGAGAAGTACACTGCAGAGGGGAGCAGTGGGCGGGTCAGGAGAGGTCTGCCACGCCATGTGGTCACCTCCGGGGCAGGCGGGAATTGAACTCATGCGGAAGTGGCTTTAGATTCTCAGTGCTGTGCTTTAACCCGCTGCACCACCAGGGAGGGCCTCATGTAATATTTTTTTAAGGTATACCACACCTACAGAAGAGACAAACCCCCAGGGAATGGGATGTTAATAGCACCCTCCTTTGTATCCCCATCCAGTTTCTACCCCACCCACCCACTACCCTGATTTCTAACATCATGGATTCATTTAGCCTGCTTTCGAACTTTATATAAACGGAATCATTCCAGGCATGCACGCATGCTCTTTTGTGTCTGCTTTTTTTAATTCAACATTGCTTGTGAGATGTGTCAGTGTCACTATGTGGAGTTGTAAATCACTCATTTCTCATCCACTCTTTGTATGTGCCTGCCTGACAAGCTGTGCAATTCTCCTGAGTGTCTACTGATGATGATATTCTTTTATTGCAAATTAATTGAGCAGATAGATGGATACATTTATTAATCTTGGTAAGGACAGTAACTGATAGAAAATGCACAGGGCCTCCTAGGAGATGGTTCTTTTCATTATTTCACATTGCTATTTGACTTTCAAGGTGAAATAGAAGCTGGTGCTCTCCAAGCTCTTTCACACTCATCATCTTTGCAAAGATGCCAATATAAAAATCGTGATGCTGTTCTGCACATATGGAAACACAGCACAGGGAATCTAGTGGCTGCCTTAGTTTTACCAGGAAGAACCCTCAGAGCCCTGTGTGTGATTTCTATTTCTCTTTCTTTCCAAAGCTTGCAGGGGTCGATGAGGAAAAGAAAGAGCAATATATGTTGTATGTTTATTTTCCCAAACAAAATTTAAGGTGTAAACAGAGGAAACACTTTTTTCAACAAATCGCTGCTGTGAACACATAAACAAATAAAGGAGATAAAAGAAGACTTCGCATGAGGGTGAAGAGGGAGAGGAGGCCTACCCCTGCCCTGCTTTCCTCAGCAAGGGAGCTCCGGATCATTTACCAGAGCCTCTGCTACCACATCTGGGTCTGAGAACCTGGCCTGTGCTTTTGAACCGGAGCGGTGAGAGGACTCACCAGGGACAGAGTGGGGGGGCAGAACAGGCAGACTGACTGAAATACACTGCTGAGGGGAGCAGCGGGAGAGAGGTCTGCTGCCCCAGATATAGGTCAGCTCCCAGTCCAGGGGGTGTCGAACCCAGGCCATGGGGGTGATGGTGCTGAGCCTTAACCCTCAGGCCACCAGAGAAGCCCTGAGACTTCTTTTGGAGCAGGGACTGCAGTTGCAATTTCTTTTCTGGGACAGTTTCTCGTTTTCTCTTTCAAGAGAAAACTGCTAAAAGCTTGGCTCCTACTTCTAATCACTTTCTGTGGTTCTTCTTCCTATTCTTACCTCAAGCAGGCTTGTTATGAGTTTTCTTCAGAGCACAAAGAGGGTAACGAAAGAACAACACACATGCTGAGTTGCAGCAACATGGCCTCTGATCAAAGTAAGAGTGTGACTTGGAGCTGAACTACAGGCCTTAAAGCCTTCCTTCATAGTTCCCGGCCCTCAATGATGAAACTCATCAGGGCTGGGAACAGGCGCAAAGGGGGATTCTTTGTTGATGAATAGGCACTATTCATATTTGTTTACGAGACTCCCTATTTAGAAACAGATTAAGTGCTCATTATAATCATCACTAGACTCCATTCACACACTTCACACAGAGTAGAAAATTCTGTTTTGTTAACAAAGTGAGAGGTTTGCAAGTGGAAAGAATGGGTCCTCTCTCCAGACTCAACATTCCTCCTACATTCACTCAGCATATACTGGGTACTCGCTAGGTACATATATTTCTCCCGGGCTCTTGGGAGTGCTGCATCAGTGCCCAAAACAGGAAAATCCCTGCTTTCAGGTCAAGTCCAAGTTCCTGCCTCCTCCCCACCTTCTTTCTGCAGCCTCACCTCCCACTACTCTCCTCCTCACAAATCCTGCATCTTCCACACCAAACTTCATGTTGTGCTTTGAACTCACAGTCCTGTGAGTTCCCCAGGACACGCTCCTCCCACTCTCTGATAGGTGTCAGCGTGGCTTCCTTCACTGAGTTACTTAAAAGTTACAGCTCTTGTTTCTGATATCCCCCTTTCTAGTTTTCTCACAATCCTTGTCAACATCTAACATGCACTTTATTTAACCTACTTATTCCTTTTCTGCCTCTCTCACCTGGATTGTGAGTTCTTTGTTGCTGACAATGCTGTGCACAGGTTCTAGAACAGCATCAAGCATGTCATTTTAGAGTGAATGAGTGAACACAGTTCAGAGGCATGCTGTGGGGCCAGGACCTGTCACAGTCACCTCAGGAGACCACTTCAGACAAGATGTAGCCCTCCTTCCTACAACATTTAGTTCAATGGCTGATAGTGAGGACAGCACACATGGCCCAAAAGGAATAAGAAAGCTTGTTGTTCACATAATGTAACTTTCTGGGGAGAGCAGGACTGGTCCGCAAGCTGATCTGATAGCTGATCTGATCCAGAGCCAGGAGGTGATACTAGATTGGGGTCTTATTGCGATTAGGCAGTGAGACTGGGCTGAGGATTCTCATGTACAGGCCAGGAATTTTGTGGTTTGAACCTCGCTCGTGCCAAAGGAAAGAACAAATATACTTTTTAATCAGTTTGTCCAGATGTAGGGTAGAAAGAGAAGGGGGAGGGATGGGAATGAAGTCAGACTTTACTGGACCCAGAGCAAGTAAGACAGTTAAGGAATTTCCTTGTCTCCCATTCTACCGAGGATGTAACACATCAGGTCTGCAGAGGATCATAGGGGTTGGGGACAGGCTAAATGCCTGACTTTGCAGAAAAGACTGAGCCCAGTTCCCCTGTCTCTGTAGATTGCTATGTAACTTGGCCCAGGGTCTGTTTCCCATTGGTAAGACCCAGGACTACAGGTTCTTAAATGCAATCTTGAACGTGTTTTGTTTTGTTTTGTTTTTCCACACTCTTTGAGCCTCAGAATTCCTGTCTATAAAACTTTTACAAAGCCACTTACTGTGATCTTTGCCCAAGTGAGGGGTTCACTGGGAGTGTTTGGAAAGAGCTGGCTGCTGATAATGCTCGTGAACCATCATGGCTGCCATCAGAGCATGGGCGCCTCCAGCAAAAGACTGTGTTATCAGAGCTTACTTAAGAGAATCTTCTTCAATATGAACTCAGTAGATTAGAATTTCATTTTATGTAGTAACAGGTATGAGGACTATTGTTTTGTTGTGGATTTTTTTATCTTTTATTTTTATTAAAATTTTCAAATAAGCAGAAAGTAGTGAGATTTGCTGAATGAGTGCAGCAATAGCCTTACATCCATGAGCAATGGTTAATAGGTTATCTTTGATTTATCTACTTTTGTTGCTGAAGTATTTTGGAGTTACTTAAAGTTATAGTGATATCCTATCCCACTCAGCATGCATCTTTAGACTCTCCTGGATGGCTGTAATTCTACTTTTACACCTAATAAAATGACTAATGTCATTTAATACCAGTCCCTATTCAAATTGCATTATTCAAATTGAGTTAAAGCATCCGTGGATGTTTCACGAGAGTTTGGGTCAAGTTCCCCTTGATGGATCATAGATGTGAGGCTTCCAGGAGGGAAGGAAGAGAGTAAGGGAAATGAGGGGAGCAGAGCAGAGCACAGTGGATGATGGGGGAGGACTATGGTTGCTTTGGTGGTGGGAAAGCTATGGTGACTGCATACAAGGGGAGACATTCTAGACTGTCACGATATTAACAAGGATGTACAAGAATAGTGTGTCATTAAAATCATAGATAACTGGGCCCTCCCTGGTGGCGCAGCAGGTTAAAGCATAGCACTGAGAATCCAAAGCCGCTTCCGCATGAGTTCGATTCCCGCCTGCCCTGGAGGTGACCACATGGCGTGGCAGACCTCTCCTGACCCACCTGCTGCTCCCCCAGCAGTGTACTTCGTTGATCTGCCTGTTCTGCTCCCACTCTGTCTCTGGTGAAGCCTCTCGCCGCCTCTGAGCCTCTGGCCTGTACCCCAGTTCTGTATGCACAAATAAATAAATCTTTAAAAAAAATAAATAAATAAAAATCACCATGTAATTAATGGTCTCTTTGATTTTTAAAAAGATTTATTTATTTATGCTTACGGAACCGGTGTAGAGGCCAGAGGTGCAGGGGTGAGAGTATTCGCCAGAGACAGAGCGGGGAGCAGAACAGGCAGATCTATGAAGTACACTGCTGAGGGGAGCAGCGGGCGGGTCAGGAGAGGTCTGCCGCGCCGTGTGGGTCACTTCCGAGGCCAGGGGTTGAACTCAAACTGAAGTGGCTAGCTTGTAGTACTGTGTCCTAACTCGAGCCACTAGGGAGGGCCTCTCTTCCATTCTTATTGGAAATGGATGGGATTAGCAAATTGTGACTGTTAGGTAAGGATAACTCAGGCACAGTAAAATAAGGAGGAAAAATATGTTTTCAGAAACCTTTGCCATTGTGTTTCCAGTAAAACTTATTTACTTTTACATCGTGTATGGAAGAAAGCCTTTCCACTGAACCTGTCTCAAATGATAAAGTAAAGATCTGATTGAATGTCAACATTTCCCATTATTTTGCCCCAGGATATATGAAAAATAGGTTCTGTTTGTGCCTATAGAATTTAGCTGTGTCTTGGAGCCGACCCCGCTATGTATCACCCTCAGAGCAATGGAATATATGAATATATGGGGAGTTGGGCAAGAAGCATCCTCATCTGCTGAAAGGTCTGTGGTCAGGGCACATTCCATGCAGGGCTGAGGTGGAGGGGTTCACATGTGAATAGTGCTCAGCTTTGTCTGAGTTGGAGGATAAAAAAGAAACAGGTTGACCCTTTGACTTTGGTGACTATTGGCGACTTGGAACCGCCATTCGAATGCTTACTAAGTTGAAGATAAACTTCAACAATTTTTCTAAAACTAAGGTACAACTTATCCACAGTAAAATGAACCAATCTTAATTGTAAAGTTCAATTAGTGTTGAAAATGCATAAGCTCATTTAACCTACAAATTTTATCAAAATATCGTACATTCCACTTCTCTAGAAGCTCACTGATGTTGCTTCCCAGATAATCACCCTCAGCAGAAACAACTCCTATTAGAATTTCTGCCATCGTGTGCTACTTTTTCCTCTTTTAGAATTCCATGTGATTGTAATTATATAGTATCTATTCTTTTCTGGTGAGCTTCTCTTATTTAGCATAATGTTAGTGAGATTCCTCCATTTTAGACCCATTAGTAGTTCATTTTGTTTTTATTACTGCGTGGCATTCCATTCTAAACCCTTATGCCCCAAGCCACAGTTGATTTTTCCATTCTCCTGGGTGGACATTGTTATGTATTTCAAAAAATTCACCCCCCACCCCTGCACATGCCCCAAAAGGAATGATGTCTCATTATCACCAGGTTCTGGACAAGAGAGAGGCGAAATGGGCACACATGTGAAAGAGAACTGAGTGCAGTGCAGAACATTCCATCTTGTTTCCTTAATTGCTCATTTTACTTGGCCTAGAAATTACCGATTAGAGACGCTGGAGAACTTTAAAGGTTTTTTACTTTTCAATAATAATGCCAATTCCTTATCATTCTGTTTCCTATTTTAGTTCCATTTCCCCCCAAAGTGTTTTTTATCTTTTTTTTTTTTTGTAGGCTTTGCACTTCTGGGAGGACACCCTTGTTTCCTCACCACACAAGATATCCATTTGGGTGTGAATGAAAGTCTCAGGGACACAGCACGGTTTGTAAACCTTCTTCTCTTCAAAGCTTATTTAAGAACCTGATTGCTAAATTTCAAACACAAAATATGCTTCTCTTTAAGTAATGGCTGTTCCTACCAGTTCCCTTGTACCGCTCTCTGCTTCTTTTCTGCTTTCCCTGAGGTTCTGAATGTCACTTTCTCAGCCTCTGGTCACTTCTCATGGGTTAAGATAATTTTTTTTTCCCTTAGCAGTTTCATGGGGCTGCTGATCATACAAATTCAAACAGGGAAATTTAGAAATCATTGTGCATGACTGCCACATTTTGCATTTCAAGAAAGAGGTCAGGGAAATCCATACCTTCAATGACTCAGAGCTAGTTAGCACTGAGGCAGGGGATAATATTAATAGCTAATGCTTGTTGAGCATTTATTATGGATCATCTTTGTGCTATCTCATTTAATCTTTCTACCAATCCAAACAGATTGACATAAAAAGGTGAAAACACTTAATTAGAAACATACCAGCCACTGTAAGGCAAACTTCAAAATATCAATGATTTGGTGTTGTGCAGGTTTTCTGATTGGGAAGAGGGAAAGACTGAATATTTATGTGGCTGTTCAGGGAGTGAAGATGTGGATATTCCTGTCATCTTCCGCACAGGCTTTTAAAGTCCCTCTGGCTATCAACATCCAGCCAAGAGCAATGGGCAAGGGTGTGGAGAAGAGATACTTGCTTCCAAGACACATTGGCACATTCTATTGGCATCTACCAGTAGCTGCCACCCACCTAGCTGAAAGTAGAGTTGGCAAGAGCTCAGAACTGCCATATAATAGTAAAAGAAAAATGAGGCTCCTGGACTCCCTGTGAAATGTTTCCACCATTCTACCAGGTTGAGAAATGCAGACCAAATACCTTTGCTTAAATATTTTGCCCCGATATGGAAGACAAATTTTTTTTTCTTCTGAAAAATCGGTGCCATAAAGTAATTCCTTGCAGGTACTGTCTGTTTTTAATGGCAGCTGCCGTAGCCTATACTCAAGAAGGCTTCTCATTTGAATTGTTGAAAAGATTTCAAATAATTCATCGTTAAAGGTTTTAGTTAACATTTTTTTTCATACGAGACTATGTTCAGATTAAAAAGTGTTGTTATGTTCATCTTCTGATTTCAAAGAGGAAAAAAAAGAACAAATAAACACAAATGAGTTTTTATATCAAATATGCTGCCACGGACTGGGATTTGCCAGTAATTCTGCTTCCATGGAAGTGAAATATACTTTATATTCAAAAGCAAACATTATAAGCTGGTTAAGGAATGATACCCTCAGCCCAGCCAGGAGAGGATTCCGAGGGCTCCTCTACATAGGATCGAATGAATTGATGATAAATGAGTTATGTGTGAAGTTATGATTGGAAAAGCACTGTAGTATATGGCATAGCAATGAGTAATGAGCTGTGTCATGTGAAATGTTGCCAATCAGGGAAGCTCCTTAGAGTCTCAGTAGCAAGGGCTTTTATTGGGGATGGTCTCATAACATCCTCTGCCTGTTATATCCCCGAACTCCAAACTCCAGGAAGGAAAGCAGGTATTCACTTCTAACCATACTGTTCATAAGAACGTTTCAGGCATAGTGAGGTACTCATTGATCCTGGAATGGTGGAAACCCTCCCCATATCAACATTCTCAAAAGCCAAAGGCCAACACAGCAAGCAGAACCTTCAAAGGAAAGCAGTTAGGTCTGCTGTGTTAACTCCGTTCTGTTTAGGGGTCCCGAGGCTTGAAGTGTAAAAGAAACGCTACCCCTTACTTACTCTCTGTCCTCCATTGGTGAAGCTGAGTCTGGATCTTAGTTTTCTTTTCCATGAAACAGGGAATTCTGGTCCTTAAGGTCCACTTTTACTCTGCAATCACAAATCCATGCAAATGTAGCAGACAGAAAATTATAGGCCTCAGCCAGAGGTGTGTCCCAGTGGAAAATGTGTAGACAGATGCAGAGTAATTTGTTAAGAGATTACATTTTCAGGGTTCAAAAACTAGTTTGAGAATTATGTTGGGGAGCTTGTTAATATACACACCCAGAAATTCACCTTGTATAGGCCAGGGTTCAGATGGTGTTTGAGAATATATATTTTAAAAAGAACCCGTAAAGATTCTACTGCACGGGCGGTTGGACCATATTTTGAGAGATCCCGAGGTAGATGGTTGTGTAATAATCCTGGATTGCTCTGCTGTCAATCTAAGCAATAGTGAAATAGTGCAATAGTGAAAGCAATGGTCAGGAAGGGACAAATATGCCTTTATGATAACTGATTGTGAAGGGTAATCTTAGCAGATGCTCAGAAATGAAAGTAGTTCCTGCTTTGGGGAGAAAGTGATAGATTAGGTACTTAAAGTACAAACATCCACAAACCATTGGAGATAAAGATTGTGGGTTAAATTGAGAGCTGGAGAAATAGAAATATAAGGTCAGTAGTAGAAAATGAGCTCCAGAGTCCCATTATGGGTGGATTCTAGAAGGCTAAATCTTGAGGACAGGTGTGAGTAGGAAGGAGCAGGAGGAAATTGTCAGGGCAAAAGGAAAATAAAAGGAGTACAATACAGGAGGGACTAGCATGGTAGATGGGAAGGTCAGAAAAGGGAGTGACTACGGTGAAAATGTGACTTTCTCTAGTGCACCCCATGACTGCTTAATCTGCCAAAAATATATGACAAACAAGATATGGCTGAGATGCAGAAATTCAGTAAGTCTAAATTGAAGAAGACAATAGAAATCCACCGCCATTCACAGAAGCGATTGAACAGAAGCAAGGAAGTGACCCTTACTGACCTCTACCCTGCTGATATGCACCATATGATCCACAGCCATTGCCTCCTTGCTTTCTGCAGAAATTCAACTTTGGGAGATGCAGAGAGAATGGATGCTGTTTAAATGCAAGGTGTCGACCCTTCCCCGTCGAGAGAATAGTGCTCACATGACACTGACCAGTGGTGGTGGTTTTCCATGTGCCTGTTTGGCTGCTTTGGAGGCCTGGTGGTATTTAAATGAGCGCCAGCACATTGGTATCAGGAAATCCTGCAGGGGGATACAGTGAACGTGGCAATAGGGAAAAAGAAAGCAAAACTGGACCAGTTTCCTGAAAGCTGTTAAATGTAATTTTCAAAGTGTCACTTACTTAGTCAAATGATTTAATTATTCATTTATTCAAACATATTTATTGAAAGCCTAGCTTTTCTTCCAGGCATTGAGAAATGCTGATCAAGTTAAGCAAAATCCTTGTTCAACTGGAAATTATATTCTAGAGGGAGGAGGCTTTTACTAAACAAATAAAGCATGAATAGAATAACAATTGAAGGAATGCTTTAAGGCAGCTGACACAGCGTGATCTGAAGGTAGAGAAGGCTACCTACCTGAGAGCAGTTGGTCAGGGAAGACCTCTCTGAGGGGGTGCCAGATAAACTGAGAACTCATTGACCAGACAAAGCTGTGGGAACAGCACCAAAGGCCCAGAGAACTGTTGCTACAAGAGCTTAAGGCGAGAGCAAGCTTGAAGTGTTCAAAAACGAGGAAGTCAGCAATGTATCTAAAATCTGCAATCAACATATTTTAAATCTAAACTTAAAAAAAAAAAAAGAAAGAAATACCCCTATGAGTTAGTTCAGTCTCAGCCATCAAAGGAAGGAGAAAATCAATCAGACCATGGAGGAAAAAAAAATCTAAATACCTGATCAAAAAAGTTGTATGACTCTTCTTTCTGGATTATAGCAAAACCTGCTCACTCTTCAAAATAGTGTGGGCAAATTCTCCTGGCTAACTTGGTCTGAGCAGTGAGATGGAGCTGCTGACTGTCACAGCGGAGCTGGGGTGTCAACCGCCCGCCACACCGCCCCGGGTCCGATGATTCATTAGAGGAACCCAAGGACTCGGCATGTGGCCATGCTCCCGGCTAAGATTTATTACCAAAGAAAGGACACAAAGCATGTCAGCTCAGGGAAAAAGCACATGGGACAGAGTCCAGGGGAGACCAGACACATGCTCCCTCCACAATCTCCTCCCACAGAGTCACATAGGATTTGACTAATTTCCCCAGCATCACGTGTGAAATTCTGTCTACGGGAAGCTCACTTGAGACTCAGTGCTCCGGTTTGTACTGGGGGTTGGTCAAACGAGCACCTTCTATTCACGAGCACCCAAATTTTACACTCCCAGAAGGGAGCTGGCATTCAGCATAATCTATAGTGTGTATGCAATTTAGGACATGAGCCATCCAGATTATTTCTAGAAATGGCGGAAATGCTGCCCAAGGCTGGCTGACTTCGCAAGCAGGCTTTTTGAAGTTAGTCACCTCACCACCACGGTTTTCTTTATTTTCTGCACAACTAACTCTTCTCGCTTGTCTGGATTTGGCTAAATGCCCTTTACCCAGATATACTTGAACTGGCAGTGGAATAGATCTTACATCTGTGATTTGAATGGTTTCCTCAGTTCAGTGTAGAAGTCCATAGGGCCAGGCTCCCATTTGGACAGAATCAACCATTGCTAACTTTTCTCCTTTGAGAAGTGTCTCTTAACAACCCTTCCCCACCCTCAAATACCAGAAAATACTATACATATACATTTGTACTCAATTGAGTTGGCTTCAAATTTGAGTGCACTTCAGATTTTGTCAATTCTCTGGTACTCTGTTGGGTTACACGGAATATTCTGTTTTCCTGGCTCTGGGACTGTCCTTTTAGATGTGACACTGGAAGTGACACTTTAGCATGACTCAGACCACTGATTCTTTGGATGTTTAAAATTGGAAGGAACTTGGCAACAGCAGTGGGACATTGTCATTCCAGTTCAAGGCTTTGTGTCTCTTCCATAACTCTTCCAGCTGTTCCTGCCTAATGCTCTGAGTCCATTTTTGAAAGGTGCATAATAGCTTCACAGTCATTTCCACTTTAATACAGTACTTTGTCCAGGACCCACTTGTATGAAAGGCACCACATAAAACCAAATAATGTAACATTGTTCTATTCTAATTACTTTCCCTGTAGATG